GAAATCATCTGTGGACCACCTGACTGACATTTTGTTAAAAAAACCAATGAAAACGGGTTTAGGTGTCCTGTGTTGCTCTTATTATCTGCCTTATCTACTGTGGACATAAGCATAGTAGATGTGGTGTGTATGCCTTTGATAATGGCAGGGAGCATTGTTACCCTAAGTCTGTATAAAGACTTGTAAACTTACATTTCTAACTGTTTTTAGTACGACTTTTGATATTTATGTATTTATTTAATTGAACTCACAAAGCACTTAATTTAAGGATTGTTTTCTATTGATTTAGTAACACTGTAATTAACTGTTAATAAAATCATAATTATCGTCTGACTTTTATACTTGTCTCTTTGTCCCTTTGTCAAAATATTATTTGATCAACATTTCAAACTGGTTTCTAACAGGTTGAACAAGTGGAAAATCTTTATTATTTTGCTAAGTCAATGTTGTGCCGTTCTGTCTGCTCGTTGAAGGACTCACAGTGGTGCTACAGTGTGAGTGACGTGAGGGGTCGTCTTTGTCACTGGCAACAAAGAGCCTTGTGTTGTTGTGCACGCAGACTGCCCTGAGGTCAGAGACCTTGTCCACCCCGCTGCACAATGTGTCCTTTCTCAGGTCAGAGTGGGTTTCTGTGGTCCAGAACGACCTCCACAGCACTCACACCCCCTCAACGCTTCGGACTCCCACAACAGTCAGACATGCCATACTCAGAATGAAATCACTGCCTCATGCAAAGGAATGGCTGGAAGGTTAGATAGTGGAATGCATGTAATCACTAAGACATTGGCTCGGTCATAAACTACTGTTACTGTATTTCATTTGTTACAACAACATGAATAGGTTTTTTTGTTTCATAGTACAATACATCTCCCTACAATGCCTCCATTTTTATTGTGACGTCAGCTTAGCATAAAAACTGGAAACAGGGAAAAAGCTAACCTAGCTCTGTCAGAACATAACAACATTCCCTACCACCACCACTAAAACTCTTTCAGGTTTTGTCTTTAGACATAGTCAGGCTAGCTTCTTCACCCTGTTTCTGATCTATATGCTACACTAACTACACAGCTACTGGCTCTGACAACATATTTAGTGTGTGTCAATCTACTCATCTAACTCTCAGAGTGTAAGCTAAGCTTGAATCATTCTTTTAGGAAAACAAGACACAATTGTTTGACAATGATCTTAACTCAAGGTACACTTACTAGCTTTTTTAACTACATATTATATCAGTCTAAGCAGTTTGCAGTTGAAAGCTCTGAAATAAGTTAGCAGGCAGACTTTGATTTAAGATTATTTAGTCAAACGACTGTTTCAATGGTCAAAAATGACTTGTGACAATGTGGATATTTTTATCTTATTATTTATATATTATAAATATATATATTATATTTGTAGTACAATAGATATTTATTGTTTATTTGGGCTGTGTCTTTGTTCCTGATTACTGTGCCAGAATTTTGCAAGTAATTTAGTTCATTGTCAAGTCCCAGCATCATTGTTTTCTCATTTTCTTCAAGACAAAATCTACACTTTTCAAAGGAATAAGTGCTTGAAACAACACAAAATAAACCAGTTTGTCAGTATATTTGTAGTTAATCACAGGCTAATTGAGTGATGATGGAAATGTTTGTGAGTGTTGTGATTACAAAATCCTGCCCTTTCTGGAAGTTATATATTTGGACAGGCAGTGCCTTTCAAATCATGCAAACTCAAGAACGAGAGATTAAAGCAAGGCCAGCTGGACGATGCTCCATTTGGTGGCTGCGTACATGTCGCACCATGTCATTATGGTGATGGCATGATGAGATAGCTCATCTCTAATAGTCACTTGGTGAAGTCAATCCATGCCACCGCCAGACCACACAAGGCAGCCTCATACGACATCCAGACTGACAGACAATACCACCCACTAACAGCTTGCACATCCAAGTACAGAGCCATGAGACCCTGCCAATAATTCCTCATGCTGCTATACATAATTCAGAAACGCAGAATCAGGGCAGATTTTTTAATTATGCTTCCAGATCTAGATGAATATTTTTGTAAGTAGTTGCTGAATAGCAGTTGAGATGTGAGCCTCAAGGCGAGGCCAACTCAGCGTTCTTCCAAACATGCTGTAATTGAAAATAGACTTGTTGGATCCTTCAAAAGCTGCTCTTGGCTGTTTTTATCTTTATTATTTATTTATATGATTTTGAGTCTGTTATGTACATACTTAAATCCTCAAGTGGGATTTGTGTTTCTGATGGCATACAATATCGATTTTTCAAGAGTTGTACAATCCTAAAATCTGATCTATATAAGGTATCAGTTAACTGTTTAAGATTTAGTTGGACTGAACTGTTTGGTTTGGGCTGTTTAAGGCACACACACAGACAATCAAATAATACAAATATGATTATGTAAGTTAAGAATTAAAGTATGCAAGGGCTAATGCTATGGCCAATCCGTAGCCTAGCAGCAATATCTAAAATTAGTACGGCACATTATGTCAAAAAGTGTCAAAGAGCAAGTACATTTATCAATCTATTCACAGGGGTTAACTGACCTTTTCTTGGGCTGTGGCTGATCATGAGTCTAATGGTGACTGGATGATCATTTCTTTGATTTGAATACATTTAGACCTAAAAAAAAACATCTGTCGCACCAGACCACCATGTGACTGATCTTACTGGCACTGTCATCAGCAAACAGTCATCACTATTAAAAACAATAAAGGTTAGACTGAGAACTTCCTGAAATAATCCTGCTGACATGGCAGAATTTATTTTGGAAGAATGTGGGTTTGGAAATTTGCTTTAAGTTAAAAAAAAAGTTGTCCTGTATATAAATTATCTGTGTATAATCTTTGTGTTTATATCTGATTTTACACATCCTTCAAATGGTAGTGATTGACTGTAATGGTGAGAGTCAGGCATAGGCACATCAAAGGATTTTTTTTCTTTTGCGGCTCGGAGAGGAGGTCGCTTTCACCTCTACGGTTTGCACATACTCTATCACTGCTTTGTTTTTCATATTTCTCTCTAAGTCTCTCTCTCTCTCTCTCTCCTTCGGATGTCCTGTGCACCCAAAGTAAACTGAAGGCCTGAACATTTGCCTTCGCTGCCTGCCAGCAGCAGGATCTATGTCATGAACCAAATCTCAACCAAATCATGAACTAAATCGTAGCAGCTGTTTTACATTGATTTCAGCTGTGTCAGCCCAAAAAGTATTGACTGCATCCACATTAAATAGACTGTAAAATATGCAGGATTAATAA